TTTCGTTTCCAATAAAACTGAGTCGTATATATTTTATAAGTTTTCTGAAGAAAAAAGTCACTAATTTCAAGAAAAATGCAAGCGCGCCCCATGGCTAACAGCGTTCCAATTAGCTAATTCGACTCCGACACAGTTCGACTCCGACACAGTTTGAATTTCGATTGTCGTTTGGTAGAAGTTGTCGATGGTCTTTTGACCTGAAATAGAAAAAATCTGTTATTTTCATTATGATTTTTACTCAACATGTTACCGTATTTCCTCTAATAGAAGCCCACCAAAGCAGTCAACTTTGAACCTAATTATCTCGTTTCCTGTGAAAGATAGCAAATATCTGTCAACTGATAAAATATTGGTGATATTACGATAAATAATTTATCAATTGATAAATGTGTGATATCTATCATAGGAATCGAGATAATTGAGCTTGAGCTCAAAGTTAATGGCTTGAGTGGGCTTCTATTAGAGGAAATACTGTAATCTCAATAACTTGCAGTCTCATGTTTAGGTAAACTTTTGAGAATACGTGAAGAATGGCCTATCTAAACACTTTCAAAAAATTCGGAATTTAAAGGAAGAATGTTCACCTCCTTATCAGCGATTTTTTCGAATTCCGAGAATGACGACGTTGTGATGAGTTGCCGATCCCCTAGCTTACTGGAAAACGTTTGGTTATAATATGAATTGAATTTTCATGATTTTATACATGTCCCAGCTCTCTGAAGTTTTGAGATGGATGAACACTTGAAGAAATTAAGAAAAAGAAAATAGAAAAGTGGTGAAAAACGAAGCTGCCACAGCAGTCATAAAAAAGATTGCGAAAAAACCGCTAAGTTTTTTTTCGCCGCGGATACATTATAGATCTATTATAGGTTCTATCGCGAAGGCGTTCGCGATAGGTCTATTATGAACTCTGTGTTTTCGCGATTGGTCTGAAATCAAACGCGGTATGAATAAATCTTCGTGATAGACAAGTTGCGAATCACCTGTGCTATGGGTGCCGACAATCATCTTGGAAGAGTTCTTTTATGTACCTCTTATGTACCCAGCGCGGCCTGTCAGAGACGCGGAGGAGACTGCCAGCAGCGAGGGGCGTGAGAGAGCGAAGAGAGAGAGAGTGTGTGTGTGTGTGCAAATATGTTTTGTTCGCCTCTTCCCACACGCGCTGTCAGTTATCTCAATTCCTGTGAAAGATATCAAAATTTTGTGAACTGATAAAATTTTTTGATATTATGATAAACAATTTATCAGTTGACAAAATTTTGATATCTTTAACAGGAATCGAAATAATTGAGCTCAAAGTTGACGGTTTCGGTCGGCTTTTTTAGAAGAAATAGGATTACATAAACTAGAATTACAAAGAAGGTGCTTTCAGCTTCCGAATGATATAGACCTAATTAGTATGAAATGGTATTTAGAAAAAAGGTGATTATGAAAAAAAACCACGTGGCCTGCATTGATGGCTGGGAACCGCCTGAAACTAGGACAAGATCTTGGTTAAGATCAGAATAAAAAAAGAAATAAAAAACTGGACCGTGTCGTCCAAAAAAAGCATAATCCCGGTTTCGGTGTCGTTATTCCCCGACAGAAGGATCCTTGGAACGTAGTTAAGTTACATTACGATGAACAGTGAGTATTCAAAAGTCCGAAGTATACGACGACCTGTATCCTTAGGCAAACGATCGCAAAGAAGTACACGAACGAAAAAGAAGAAGGGCGGTGATGAGGAGAAAACTCAGGGTGCAACCAAAAAGTCACTCTTCTCTCATCGTGCCAAAAACGAGACGAATCCGGAAGAGACGGAAGCTTTTGCGGTATAGATTGAAATCTGTCAAAAAACACTTTGGAGATTTCACACAGTTTGAATATTTAAAAATCATTTTAAGAACATTTGCCGTTGTCTGATTGAACACCGTTGGTATCATGGTGTAATGCCACGTGGAGAAATCAGCACTCTTCTCGAAGACGAAGGCGACTTCTGTGTTCGGAAAACAACTGAAAGAGGAAAACCCATCGTTTGCATCTCGGTGAAATGTCAAAAGGAAGTTCGCCACTTTCCCTTGGTTTTTGAAAACGGTCAATGGACCTTGAAAAATGTACAAGAGACATTTTGATCCATTCTTTTAAGTATATAACTTCAGCTTATCAAAACTCGCCGTTTCTACGAAGTCGTTGAACTTCTGAATGCCCTGGTTACCGAGAAAATTGCTTTGTCAGGTGCTATTCTGGTTCGTGCGGTTCCTCGTCCAGACTACTATATCCCGCATAGCGATATTTCGCTCATTTGCAAACTCGGAGGTATTTATGTCAGAATGGATTACTGTAGTTCTTATTTGTAGAGGGAGCATTTGGAGAAGTTTGGAAAGGATCCTTGAAACGCCATGAAGACGGAAAGGCAAAAAAAGCTGAAGAGAAGTCAGCGGCACCATCGTCTGCGGCACCGTCGTCTGCAGGATCTGCTCTATCGGGTAATTCCGAGAAAGGCAAGTCCCGACTTTATGTGGCTGTGAAGAAGATGAAAGGAAATGCAACGAAGGCAATGACTGAGGAATTCGTTATGGTAAAAAATGAGTTTTTTATTCGTTAAGCAATTTGTTTGCAGGAGGCAAAACTGATGCGTCAATTGGTTCATCCAAACATCGTAACGGTCTACGGAGTTGCACCATCTGAAGAGCCTCTTATGATTGTTCTGGAATTGGCTGGAAATGGATGTTTGAAGTCATATGTTGCTAAATACCAGTGCCCACCGGATCAACTCCTACAATTCACAGCTGATGCTGCTCGTGGAATGGCCTATTTATCATCTAAGCTTGTCATTCATCGTGATTTAGCAGCTCGAAACCTTCTACTCGGGACATTTGTCGAAGTGAAAATCTCGGATTTCGGGTTGTCTTCTTCTGGAAAAACTGAAATCAAGGTCAAGCAGATGAAGGTTCCGATTCGTTGGCTCGCTCCGGAAACTCTTGAAGAGGTATAATTAGGTACCGAGCAAGGATTGATATATTATTTTCAGGGAGTGTTCTCCACGAAAACTGATGTTTGGGCATACGCTGTAACCCTTTGGGAAATCTTTACTCGTTGTCAAACTGATCCATATCCAGGTCTCACTAACCAACAAGCTAAAGACTTGATTAGAGGTGATGCACTTCCAATGAATCCACCAGAAGGTACTCCACCAATTGTGGCTAAGATTATGGAGGATTGTTTCAATAAGGTAAGGACAAATATTTCCTATTTCTAATCAACTGAGTAAAGTTCAGAATCCTGATGATCGTCCGTCTTTTGCTGCTATTCTTAAACGCCTCCGTCCAGATGAAGACGTCTCTGCCTACGAGCCAAAGGATCAATCTGTTACCAGTCCAGTCAAAAGAGCAAATGCTCCTTCCGCTGAACAGTCGGCTCGTAGTAAGAGACCTTCTCGAAAATAATTTTTTGTATAACTGAATAAAGTCTTGTCTCGGAATCCTTTAAATTTATCATTTATAAACACACATCAGCTCAATCTACTATTGAAATGTATTTTCATCAGTTGTTATTATCAGAGTCTGTAAAGATTCCAAGAAAAATAGCTCTGGAAAATCTGCAAGTTCTGAAATCGGACCGGACTGGAAGACCCCTTTTTCAATGAATTTTAGTCTACTATGAAAAAAACTTTATTGTCAGTCAGATTAAAATTATTTGAAAATGAAAAGGATTACTGTAGGGAGAATTTCGCGAAAATGAAAAGGATTACTGTAGATAAAATTTTTTCGAAAATTTAAAGGATTACTGTAGATAAAAATACTCGAAAATGAAAAAGATTACTGTAGGGGAAACTTTGGAAGTGAAAAGGAGAGCACACCAACTGGGAGGAAAACAAAAAGTGGGAAGAACCATCTGGGAGGAAAATTGGGCGGCGCCGGGGGCGGAGCCTAATTTGCAACCCTGGCACGGCTTTGCCGCTGGTGTGCTCTCGTGAAAAGGATTACTGTAGTGGAAAATTGTTCGAAAAATAAAAAGATTACTGTAGGGAGAATTTTCCAAATTGAAAAGAATTACTGTAGGGGAAATTTTATGAAGGTGAAAATGATCGCCCGTTTCCGGCAATTTTTTCGATTTAGAAAACATTTTGATTTCCGCCTATTTTGTACGTTTTCAACACGAAAGTTGTCGAAGAGCAATTGTAATAGAGAAACTTCCAGGTGACGGTGGTTTTCGTTGTGGGGATCGTTGGCCCCTCCCACAAGCTTTTCATATCCACAGCTCTCATTTTCTCATGCAAGCATAATATGATTACCGTACTATGAATTACTGTATGAAGTGAATTACTGTATAAAAACCCAAATTAAAAAAATAAAGATTTGAGTTTTTGCTTTTGATTTATGTGACGGCTTAGTTTTTGCACGATTTTGTTCTAACCGATTTCATACGGCCGTAGGTCAAATTCAAAGAATAAGAAGACCTCTGTGTGGCGCTAATTTTCTGATGTACGCAATATGTCGTCAGAGTGTACATGCTCCGCAATGTTTTTTATTTTATTTTTAAAGCTATTTTTTGTTGTTTGCATATGTTGCTGAAACTCATCTCGCTATATATTTGTACTGAAAAAAAATTTTGTCGGACCATCTTTTTCAATTTATAACGAAATTGCAGGGTATTCCGATGGCCGATTCACACGGTTTGCAGTCGCCAGATGTGGTTGTGGAGAAATAGTAAAGGAGCAATAAACCATGAAGATTTCAATAAGATTTTTTTTTCAGTTTGATATCAAGTGAAAACTCTACTATTGGATTCGAAATCGGAAACAATGTGACCGTACAGTTGAGCGAGCCATCGGATGTTGACAACGGGAGAGAACGGGATTCGTCAAATATTCAAACGAAAGTTATCATGGATCACAAAGGAGATGTTTGTCGAGGAATACGTTTTTTCAATACTTCGGGTGTTTTCAGATTCAACACTTGCGTGGGGGTATTCTTTCTTCACATGGATCTGTTGTCGGTTTCCGCTCAATACACGAGGCTGTCGGGGAATCACTGAACTTGATCAATTTGCAAACAAAAGATAGACACCGTTTCAAAGTATGTGAATCTATGACTCTGTTTTATTTCTTTCAGAAAATTGAGGCAGTAAATTTACCAACGAAATTTATTTCCAGGACTTCTCGCACCGCACAGTCGATCTGGCTTTTGCCCACCATCACCCATTCCTTGCTGTTCTCAATGCAGATCTCTCACTGCATATTTTCGAAGTTTCAGAAAAATGCGTAGTGTACGTTTTGTCTTCAATAGAGTATACTTTTGAAATTTGAAATTCAGGAAGAAGTACCTATCTATAGGGAACTGGCCAGCCCATCCGTCTCACCCAAACGATGGCCAACCTCGTCTTTCCTGGTGTCCATACGTTCACGGCGAAGATGAAGATGATGAGGCTACACATTTAGTAGCTGTTTATATGGTTTATACTCTTTTTATTTTTGAAAAAAACGAACTCAATACCTCTTTTAGGGATGTCATTTGCACATTGTCAATGTGGGAGTTTTGAAAGATTCCGGACTAGGCGACGAAATCGACTTTGATGATGCTAAGAATGAGGACGGAGGGATCTTTTCGCATTCCTTCAGCAACCAGGCTGAAAACAAAAAATTCCGCATTGCTGCCGTCTGCATTTCGCCTGATTCTACAGCTGTCGCAGTGGCGACAACAGAGGGACCCGTTCAGTTTTATACGTTCAGTGATGTAGGAAACACACTCACTTTCGCGCACAGTTTTGAGCCGAGAGGGTTCACAAAGAATGGATTTATTGCTGATCTCATTTTTCTCGATGATCTAACTTCCAATAGAACCGGCAATCAATTCTGGCGGTCGTGTGTTGTTGTTTCGGATGACGGCCACAAAGTTGCATTGTATGAATGTCAGGGCTGGAAATGCCTTGGGCGAATTAGTTTTGAAACAACACGAACTATCAACAAATTCGTCAGTATTTCTGATCTCTCTGCTAATTGTGTTAATCTTCTTGATGTGGATGGAATGGTAATTTTCAGTTTTATGGTTTTCCGATTTTAAAAACTTAATTTCAGAATATGTTCACTATTGAGATTATGAACTCGAATAGAATGGATGTACCGCCTCGTTTCGTTGGAATTACTCAAACGTCTTTCTGTCATTCAATTTTCTCAATTTCTCCACTCTCATCAAACACGTTCGAGTCTTCTGAGGATTCGGGAGATGATCTTTTCAATAATGGTAGTAACGATGAAGATTCGGGTGATGGTTCAGATGCCAGCGAATCGGGCGAAACGAGACTGAAGCACATCAAGACCAAGAAGCATTTCGTTGCAATGGGCAAACGCAGCATGTTAGAGTTGCAGCTCACTCTGAAGCAACATATTCCGTCTCCAATCGGATCTACTGTGGAGTCTTCAGATAAAGAACCGAGCCCGTCAGTGTATATAGATACTGATCAAGAGCCACACGAATCCACCTCACTGCAAGGCCTTCTGATGCAAAGAGTACAACCAACTGCCGGACTTGATCTCGAAACAGTTAATAGAAAATTAGACACTGTCATCACAACTCTAGCTCGAATGGAAGCTGAAAGGAAAGAAGGAACGGAAATTATGGTTCAAAAAATCATCACTTCTCTCGGTAATTTCTCATCTCGAGCCAGCCACAATCTAACAAAGTTTCAGATGAGAATATGCGAATGAGGGAAGGGTATATGCTCAATCGTATTGAGCAACTTTGTGAAAACGGACGTCTTGACACTATTGCTGCCATTCGTTCTGGTATCGCCAGTCTCAATGAACAAATTTCGGGTGCAGTGCGAACAAATGGTGCAGAGACAGCGGAATACATTAGTCAACGCGTCGGAAGTTCGGCTAGGAATGCCCTCACAGATTGCATTCTTCCATCTTTCGAACGAAGCTGCGAAGTTCTTTTCGAAAGACTGAATGAACATTTTAGACATGGAATTAACGAGGTATAGATTATAGCAAGGACGTTCAATAATTATTTAAACGTTTTGCAGTATCTCGCAACCACTACTCAGATGATTCAAGGAAGTGCTATAGCTTCCGCCCAAATGGCTGCACAGCAACAGCAGCAAAAAACCGAAATGGATCGTATTGCCCTTCTTCAGATGATCGAAACGAATCCAGAAGGAGCTATTGAAGCAGCGCTTAACAAGGCGAATGAGCCACTTCTAGAGTTCATTTGCTCCAAAATCAACCCGGAAACTCTCATTATTCCTGGAAACACAAAATTGAGCCAGAGTTGTCTACTATCTCTCGTTCAACAATTCAATGTGTCGCTGCACAGAGAAAGAGACCTCAAATTCCGTTGGATGGAGCTGATTATTCCAGAAATCGATTTGAGCTGCCCGGATATTGCCCACGTTGTACAACCCGTCGCTCAAAAGCTTCTCATGTCCCTTCAAGGTGATTATTTTGTGTAGAAAACAAACAAGCATTTCGAACTAACACGAGCTAAGACATTTAAATTATTAAATGTATCGAATTTCAGAGTTGATTGAGAGCACCCAAGATGAACAAGCACGTCGCTATATTCGTCTGCTTTACCAAATTACGCGATCTTCGCTTCTCCAGCCTCTAACTCCATCCCAGAGAACTTGTAAGTTTTGACAATCACAGGTTTCATGTTCTTCTAGAAAACGTTTACAGCTGCGTCCGTGCTTTCCAAGTTCCTTCAAGATCATTCCCAACAATAATCGGCCGACGACTTATATGCCTTACTCTAATTTCTGCCCTGTCCCAGTTTACTTTTCAAAATCTCAAACTCCCCCGTTTTACCTTTTCATCCCCGTTTCCGAATTTGAGACAAAAATGCTCATAGAAAATTGATTGAGAATATTTCAGATAGTTATTTGTATAACAACTTATAGTGAACTACTTTGACAAAGCTCAACTTGAAACGTAAGCAATGCATATGTTTGTGAATAGAACCGAATCACAATTAACCCACTTCTACTCGAAGTTTCTAATTTATTATTGCTTCAATTCATCCTATATATGAACACATAAACTGTACTTATGAGTGGCTTATCGCAAACATGAAAATATATATCCTGAGGAATAGAAACAATATGTACATATAGGGTGCTTCAATCACTGTAGAGCTTAGTCTCGTTGTTCTTCTCAGCCGATAAGATTACATTCCGTAATCTCGCCTAAAGACTAAATTTGATCAGTTTTGGAGAATGGAGAAACTCACAATAACCACATTGATCTCTTCCAACTTGCGCTGCTCGTGAGCTCTTTCATCAGCAGTTATTGCATTATTTCTGAAACTTTCAAATGTTTGTATGCAGTGTTAGGAACAAGGAAACATACAAAGAGTAAAGAAATATTTCATGAATCTGCTCGTATCTTGTCAGAATTCTATAATTTAGCCTCAGAAAATCGTGGTACAGGTTCTTCTCCCGGAGGTGTCGTTCATCTCTGATAGGCTGGAAATTTCAAACAAAATATTTAGAAACAAAAGATTTTCATATCGAGACTCACATCTGCTTCAGCGTTCATTTCTCCTAGTTCATATTCGTACAAGAGACAAAGATCTGAAAAGATGAGATAATTAAACCAAGTGAATATGAATATGGAAAACAACGATAATAACTTGTTCAATGACACAAATTGACCTTATTTGCAATCTCTTCTTACAATTAGAAAAAGAAATTTAAAAATGCTCTTTGAGGCAGCTATTCAAGCAAAGAGATGTGCTCTCCGTGCACCTAAAAACAAGATTAAGCCATTCGAAGTTAGAATAGCTCAATTTGATTTGATTCTAGAAGGTAATTCAATGGTGGGAATCAGGTGACATTGAGCACGAAGAAGAGGGTTTGGCAGAGAGAAAAAGAGGAAAAATTTTGGAGTGAAATGGAAAAGAACGGAAGGAATTAGAAATTAGAGAAAACCCCGAATAAACAAATGTGGGAATAATACATCGTACATAATTATTAATATTGGAATAGAGAGGGCTCAGTCTGCCTTCTGATGAATCGGGTTGATTTTAAACAAAAATGCTAGGAGGAAACTGTTTAATTCTGTTTGGCTAAAAAGAAGAAACGCGTCTTTGCTGATCTAATCCAAAAATTTCTTGTTTATATTCACGAAAATACGGAATAAACCATCGTTGGGCAAGAGTTCAGTAAAGGAGTTAGAGAGATTTACTGAAAATGTTCTTAAAAAAGGGAAGATGCAGCAGCACAAGGTTGGAGAGAATATGTAAAGCAAATTAAAGAAAAAAGAAACTACAAATCCTGGTGCTGCTGAACTTTCCATGTTCTCACAACTCCCTCACAATGAACATAATTTTACACAACGCATAATTGGTCATGCGGAAGACGGATAGAACAACGCATACGCGGAAGGAATAGAGAAGAGGAACAGAGAAGGAAGGTGAGGGCTACATCTGGCTACCGAGCAAGATAAGCTTCTCATTATTACATACTCGAAGACGAGCTCAAAACGGGCCATGTCAGGCCCTGCCGTAGTTTCATCAGGATCAATATTTTTCGACCAACTAACTAAATGGGATATGATAGTACTCAACGAGTACTACAAAATGATACTATATGGACAACTCTATCTCATCTATGAACAAAGTTACGAGCAATAAAACTGGTTTTTTTTCTCTATCACATCTGATTTAGTTGGTCAAAAAATGCTCAAGAGCCCGTTTTGGAACCGTTTTCAAGTTTGCATTTTAATAGAACGCCACCTCTAGCTTATACAACTTTGAGCCAATTTATTTCAGTTTCTATATCAAATATATCAAAAATTGGTCAACTGATAAAACGCTTTTGATACTATGATAAACATTTTATCAGTAGACCACTTTTTGATATCTTTTACAAGAAATGAGATATGTCGGTTCAAAGTTGAAAGTAAGAGAGTGGCGTTCTATTAGAGCGTTTACGGTATCTTATCCGTGTTTTCGGCACCTAATCGGATCTCTAAAAAAGGATAGTTTGAAACTAGTACTGTTTAACTTAAATACCGTAAACACTCTAATAGAAGGCCGCCCTAACCACCAACATTGACCTCAATTATCTCAGCTCCTGTGAAAGGTATCAAAAAGTTCTCATCTGACAAAATGTTTATCATAATATCAAAAACATTTTATCAGTTGACAACTTTTGATATATTTCATAAGAATCAGGATAAATTGGCTAAAAGTAGGCGGTTCGGGTGGTCTTCTATTAGAGTGTTTACGGTATGTTCAAAATAAAGAAATTTGTTGTTTATAAAGTTGAAGAGACATACTAATATTTACTTATCCACTAGTGAAAAGAAGCCAGTTAGAAGGTGTTGATAAGAGTTTTTAGCAGAATTGTAACGGGCCGGGCCGGGCTTTTTCCGGAATTTCGGAGGCCCGGCCCGAGCCCGGCCCGGCCCGGCGGGCCCGTCATTTCACTAGTTTCGAAATTTTCAAAAAACACATAAGGGGGGACCCTTATGTGATTTTTTTCGACCAAAAAAATTTTTTTCGGGTTTTTCGATCTTTTTTGATCAGACAGACAAACAATCCGAAATACGAGAAAAAAAAATGGAAAAAATTATATTGAGAGCTCAAAATTTGGCTCAGAAATACAGAATTTTTGACACCGGGCCCGGGCCTTGAAAATTTCGTCAGACCCGACCCGGCCCGGAATTTTACAAGTATGGTTTTTAGGAGTTGTTTGTTAGAATCAGCCAATTCACGCAACGTATAAAAATTGTAACAACAATGATATGGTTCTCTGAAGCTCCGGTTACGGTAGCTACTGTAGATGACTGTATTTTCCAAAAAAAAACGTCTGCAAAAATTGTTCAAAGAACTCGAACTGGTTGAGGAAACGAATATGGCTCTTAGCCTTTTTTCAACGACGACAGTTTTCGAACTACTATGGTATGCTGGTGAGCTTCAATGAGAAGGGTCGTGGCAAAGTTTTAGGCCGATTGAAAAACAAAATAATTGGGAGCGAGAGAATTGAATCTTAGGGAGATATATAGTGAGAGAGGCATAGAACAATTTTAAAATTAAGAAGACAAATTTCCAGCTGACACGCCACTTCTCAATAGAGTGCTACAGTAGAACCCTGTGAACGATGTAAACAAGAACAAACATTATTTTGGAATCCGTCTGGTTGGATCAAAAATTTTAGGAAATTCTGTGATTCTGAACTTTTCTGGAATTCCGAAACTCTGAAATCTTCAAATTCTGAAATTTCCTGGAGTTCCGAAATTCTGAAATTCTGAATATCGTGCTAAATGTCATGAAATTCTGAAATTCTGTAATTCATAAATTCAAAAGTTCAGAAATTCAGAAATCCAGAAATTCAATATTCTGAATTTCCGAATTTTTGAATTTCTGAAATTCTCCAAACTTTCTAGAACAATTTAATTACATTTTTTCTGTTTTTCTGCCTACTCAAAGAGTTGTTTCTAGTTTTTTAGGTTTTCTATGAATGACAAAATAGACGACGAAAGGAAAATAATTCACTGAAATTCTGTTAACACTGATGAAATATCGGCATCTACAACCCGATGCGGAGGATCATTAAAAGACACAAAACCGAGTGATTTATGAGTGTATCGATTTGATAAAAAGTGTATTATCAGATTCTCAGAACAGACTATACTACAGTAACCTTTTTGATATAAAAACTGAAAGTTACTTTTGAAAGTAATAGGGGTCTCAACGCATTTTCTAATATTTTGAAAGTTTCAAAAAACCATATTCTCCAGACAAACTGGTTTCCACAATAAATTTTTTCGAGATTTTATGGAATTCCATCAAAAGTTGGAAGAATCAAAAATTATTCAGAAAAAGGTTTCGAATAAATTGTATGAAGGAACATAAAAATGACCAAATATTTTATAAAAGTGGTTCCAGGCAAACAAGCGCAATATCAATTAAAGTGCTGAATCGGTTGAACAAAATTACAGAAAAGGAGGAATCCAGAAAAAATTTCATCAACAACAACATTGAATGTGTAGAATTGGAAGTGGGGAATGGTAGATGGTAAAAAACAAAAACAAAGCAATTCGAATACACATTCGAAATATCGAAAAAATAGAGAAAGAAAGAAAGAAATGAAGCGAATGTGTTCTTTGGAACACTGTTCTCTACGGAACATGGAGTGCATTTTGTCCAATTTTTCGTTTTTCCTCTCGTTCTGTGTCTACTCCTTTACGCCTATCTCTCATCTTTTTTCTGCTCATCTCTGATCTTTCGATTTGTTGGCTTTTCGTGATGGGTGGTCATTCTATTATTACACACTTTATATAATAAATTGGCTTGTAATAGTGGGATCGAAACATTATGAAAACATCAACTTGCCAAAATTGATTACTTGAAATGTTCTACAAACTACAGTATTCCAGGATTTTTTTAATTCCAAATGTATTTAGTTTCGGTTTTCGTAACGGTGCTCAGCAAATAATGCGCTGTACGGGTGGTAGTGGTCGATTTTTGTCGGTTTCTCAAGTTCTCTTTTTCGAGAAAAACCCTTTCATCGACGACCTCTATTGATCCTGGATTATCAGATGTTTTACAATATATTACTGTTGGTCAAATAAAAATTTGAATTTGAAAAATCTTCTCATAGGAATTGTGTAATTGGTCATTCCTCTCTGAAATTTGAGGTGACATGTTTTCCTGCAACCGTTCTCATATGATCTCATACAAATACAAATGTTTTAATACTTGCAAGCATGCCTCTTTTTTTTTGTGTTTCTCAATACTCGATCCATGTTCCCCAGTGAACAATAGTGATGGTTGTTTTTTCTACATAGCTGCCCTCTCAACCCCAATTATTCACTCTTATTGCGAAACAGCCTTCTCTTTTCCGCTTCTTCCATTCGAGTCCATGAGTTCGGCGGTTCAGGGGCTCCTGCGGCGGTGCGCGGACAGCATTCTCGCGCATTGTGAATGTCTGTGTCTTCTCCAAAATACCCGATATTTTTCATTTGCCCCATCTACGCGTTGTTGTCTGTGTTTCGCGGTTCTCGCGCACGAGAGGCGAAACCAAACCGGCGACCATCAAAATGGCGGCCAGTCTCTCCCTTTAGCCCCAATAGGCCGCTCTTTCGCTTAGCTCCAATTGAAACCAATTGTTTTCTTGAGTCTTGTGCACTTCTAAAAGGCAAATCTGGCGCCCGGACAACAGCTGTGACCGCATCTGCTGACCCTTCTTCATTCATTTTTCATCGAAATCGTCAAGACGAGTCCTATGGGCAAAGAGCGATTTCCTTCTCCCTTTCCATCATCATTCTCATTTCCTTCTTTTTGATAGGAAGGAGAAAAAATCAAATTTGAACTCTGTGAAAATTCTATAGTTTTTGTTTTATGTTTCTCGTAGTTGTAGTTTCATATTTTATGGTGATCAGAATATATCGAAAATCCCGCGTAATAGGGTGTGCAATATAATTCTACCGTATAAATACCGTAATCATAAGCAGGAGAGCACACCAACTGGGAGGAAAACAAAAAGTGGGAAGAACCATCTGGGAGGAAAAATGGGCGGAGCCGGGGGCGGAGCCTAATTTGCAACCCTGGCACGGTTTTGC